AAATTGTCGCTCTGGTTGTAAGAAGGTGCATCGGCCTCATGACTTCCGAAGGAACTCGGCTTTCATCATGAGACGTCATAATTATTCTTTCTACTGCCAGGGCAGAGTTTGAATGGTTTGAATGATTTTTTCTGGTTAGAGTTTATTTAGCGAGTTGATTTTCTACGGGATGGGGTCGCTAACCCCATACCCAACCCTCCTCCTTTACCCGGGCTTGGGCCTGGCAGTAATCTACAGAGTAGCTACAGGCGGAGGTTTTGTCACAACACAGCTGGCGATAATAATGTTGTCTACATATTATGCATTAGTTACACACACAAGACGTGGTTTATCACAAAATAAACAGTACCAACTTATCCAAGTTATGGAACACTCAATATGAGGTGAATACATTGAAACGAGATTTCCTTGATACGGGACGTCAAGCCGATAAACTGAAGTTCTCCAACAAGAACAATGAAAAACTGACCTACAATCTTCCGAAAATCTTAAAAGCCATAGTGATTACATGTAAAAAACAAGATCTGCGTGTCAGATTAGAAGTGGTAAAAATTTTCCTCTGCTCTGGTAACACCATATGCTTTTTATTGCATCATCCATCGTTTCAATTCTTTCAGAGGTTTGTTTACATAGTTGTCACCTTTCTTTTTTCTTTCTTTAATTGACTGATTTTGTGTATCGTTTGTCATGTTTAGCCCACATACTTTATTCTAGCTACTGATCAAGCCAATTTGACTGGCTAGTAATTAGAATAAAGTATATAGGCTTAACATGACAAACGATACTACAATTTCAACCCGAAAAGTTCTGTGTTACCATTAATCTGTTTTCAGTTACTTCATTGCACAATCTTGTTTGTTAACTCTGTGAGTTCTTATCACCAGCTCAATGTTCCGTGACATTTCTTTACAAACTGTACTTATTTATCTAAAACAAAACCTTTTCATGGCCTTAATAACTGTATTGGAATCTTCGCTACATCATGTTACACATATTCACCTCCAATCATCTTCCTACTTATAAGTGTGCCAATATCTGTAAAAAAATTGATTCAACATTACTATAGGTTGTAAGAAGCTGACGGAAACCTAACGAAACAAAATGAATTCGTATTGTTTTGCACCAATCTTTGTTTTTGTTCACTTTGAGATAATAAATAAAACTATGTGCTTGAAATAATTGATCAGCGTCAAAGTGCCAAAACTGGTCAATGAAAGTACCAACTGTTGAAAAAATTAAAAACAGTGCTTTGTTGGTCAGTGCCCCTCTGAAATCATCCAGCGACCTAGCTGTGACCAGTTGTGATAAATTAATGAGCAACAGTCACGTAAAGTGCAATTTAATAAACAAAGATTACTAATCAATGTCATTAACAATAGCTCTTTAGCCATCGTGTTTATTTGCTACATGTTCACTGTGTATAACCACAAAAATCGTTTTCGATTTTTTACAGTGTTGTACATTTGTCAGCAGCAATCTTTCTAATTTCACAGTGACATCTTGTTGTCGTCCTATGTTTTGTGATTATTTGTCTTGTGTGGCAGCTTTTCCGTTACTTCAATAAATCAAGGGTAATTTGATGGTGATCGTGAACTTGATTCTCACATTAATATCACGTGTCCTTTGAAGATACCATGGATGGTATATCCACGACCAACAACTTCATATTTAGGCGGGGTCACCGATTATTTTCTAAGTGTTATTATCGATCTCAAGGTCTGAACTTCAAGAGTGACGCGCACTTTCGAGGCATCATTCTGGTAAACGCATTACACAGATGAAAATACACAACGAAACAAACAGTGAGGACGAGAGGATATTTTCAATTCACAGCAACAACTTCATTATGCATCAAAATTGATTGGCACATTCTTTCGACTATTTATAAATACTCACCAAGGACACCAATCATTGGTCACATATTCATTTCGGAGTAATGGTTAAGTATAAATATTTTGACACGTTTTCCAAGCACAACAAAACCACAATGATTATTGTAGTTACAGTCCGTTTTCCTTTCTACACGAGTGGGACGTTAATTTATTTCAGACGAATATCTACACTAGATTCCCTCCTAGTCTCTACTCTACAGGACAGCAACACAACGCATATCAAGAACACGTGATTAGCCTGACTAGAACGTAAATATATTTCCATTTGGTGAGTATCGAAATTATTGTGGATTTTATATTGCTTTACCTTCGGAAAGATACTCTTTTCTTCGAATTTACATCTCCATTGTAAACTAGATAATACATTATAGGGACATGACAAGAACTGGAAAAGACAGTGCAATCGTAAAACTGTAAATCTCAATTGAAACAAGGCTGAAAGATGAAAATCAGTTGGTCAAGGTATCATGTCAACTCTAGAAATGTCAGAGTATTCAGCAATGCTTTCTCATGTTTAGTCTAACACTTTTATTTCGATTCTCCTTTACTATGGTTCAGTGAAGGACATTAAATGAGGTCATTATTTGAACAAGTGCAAAACTGATATGATACGTGACAATTATGAGAGGGTAATTCAGCATTTACATTGCTACGAACATTGTCGACAAATGTCTTTATCCATTATTAACATACAGGCGTGAAACGAAAGACCTTCACTGACTAGTAACTGGTCGTTCACGGAAATACTATACACATAAGATGAGCATTTCATAACTGTTAGGGCGAAATCTGACGACAATTAGAAATCTTTAGCATTCTACATTATTTTGTAAAACATTAAATAACCAATGCTCCTGTAGTGCCGTTGGGCCTCAACCACACGATACTCAAAGCTAAACACCAGACAACTGGGAAAATATGTATTCAAGATTTCATGCGGAGAAATGACAACGATAGAGAATAAGGGAACATGGTTTGAATTTAATCCAATTGGGTGGTAAGTCACAGCCTTGCAGGTGTGATTTTTCTAAATGACTTGTTTTTACTCATATTAACTATCTTGTTGTATCTCCAGCCTAATGTGTGCTCTCAATCACATTTTGGCAATTGTTAATATACGTTGAATCAGTGTAGACACTGACGTGAGGTCCACGCCAGATCTTATAGATTAGGCAGCTGCAAGATGAAACCTACAGCTTTACGACTAGGTTCATTATTAGAGCAGTACTAGTAACGAATTAAACCATATTTTGTCAGTCTTACAATCTTCACATGAAGACAAATAATACAAGTTATCGTAAAACCATTTTAAGGATGTAGTATTTGTCAAAATTTATCAAATATCATGACTCTCATAATCAACAATACTGAATAATTTCTGTTCAAAATGGCCACATTTCCACTAAACATTTTGAATTATGGAAATTAATTACTTACTTATTTACGACTGTTACTTCTGATGGAGCAGAGGCCAAAGTCCAACATTCTCCAACCCACTCTTTCCTGGGTCTTCTTTTCTGGTTCTATCCAGTTTTGTTCATTTTTATCATGTCTGTCTCTATTTCTCGGCGTAATATGTTCTTTGGTCTTCCTCTTCTCCTTTGACCTTCAGGATTCCATGTGAGGGCTTGACTTGTGACGCAGTTGTGTGATTTCCTCAATTTGTTTCCTATCTCCTTTCAGAGCTTCTTCCTGATTTCTTCCTCTGCTGGAATTCTGGTTTGTTCTATCCTACAGCAGAATGTTGCTGATAGTGTATGACTAACGGATCCGAAGTATCTTGTGTATACAACTGTTAATAAACACTTGTATCATTTGGATGATGACTTTCGTAGTTCTGCACGTCTTCGCGCCATACAGTAGAACTGTCTTGACATTTGTATCGAAAACTGTGATCTTGGTGTCGGTTGAGAGTTGTTTTGAGTTCAAGATATTCTTCACTTGTAAATATGCTGTTCTTGCTTTGCCGATCCGCGCACTCACATCTGCATTTGATCCATCGTGTTCATCAATGATGCTGCCCAGATATGTAAGGGTTTTCACATCTTCCAAATCTTCTCCGTCAAGCGTAATTTGACTGATGCTGCAAAACAGGTCAAATAAATAACCGGCATCAGGTCAGTTGTCCTGTTATAATTATTCAAAATGAAATCAGTGCTTGCTTACTTACTTACATACCTATGCCTGTGACGCCCAATGGAGCATAGTCCACTGACAAACATTCAGCAACCCACTCTGTTCTGGGCACTCCTTTCTAATTTTTCTCATGTCTGACCCCCTTTCTCGGTCCAATATGTTCAGTGACATTATCTTTATTAAATGATACTGCATAATGTTACACTCTTTCCTCATCAATTTTTCAGAAAGATATTTCTGTTTTCAATGTAAAAGCGATCGATAGTGAATAAGGTGTTGTATTCGAGGTTCTCGCTTTTCTGTATTTGTCGGCGAGTATGACATGGGAGGGCCAGAACAACTGCGACGTAAAAATCGTCTATTTAATTCTGAGCTGTCCATTGTATTCCATACTTCCTGTCAGATGTTGAGGTCTTCATGATCCAGTCAATCACCACAAGACAGGGAGAAAGAGGAAGAGTAGTTAGCCTTATCTGACTCCGGAACTTACTGTGAAATGCGGCTGTCCAAATAAAATGAAAAACACTTACTTCTGTAACCTGAGTGAGAACTCTGTGAGGACAACTGATATGTACTCAATCCCACCACCTCAAAGCATGTCGAAATAATAAAGTACAAATACAATTGAAAAAACTATTGTAACCTGAGTGAGAACTCTGTGAGGACAACTGATATGTAATGTGGTTGTGTGAGAGTCTTTGAGTCTGGTGATACAAAGTTCACATGCGATGACAATATCCATATGAGCAAAGGTATAAATATGACTGCGTCTTGGACAAAAACCAGATATCACAGAATGGTGCTCACACTACTGCTTGGCATTTGTTTCTTAGAAGCCGTCTTCGGGATGACCGCAGAGGAAGCGCAACTCATGCTGCAAGTACATAATGAACATCGAGCATACCGAAACCTGTGTGGCGAAAAGGGCATAGTGCCAGCGGAGGAAATACTACAGCCTCTTGTAAGTTTGAGATGATGTGGAAGCCTCGTGCTTTGCACTATAATCTGAATGCGTTTCTTCACATTATTCATGAATACACAATTAATGCTTTTCTTTGGTTTCTATGCTTGTATCAGGAGTGGGACGATGAACTGGCTGCCGCTGCTCAAAGTTGGTCTAAAAAATGCAATCCATATGAAGAAGAACCGATTGGAAATGTTGGTAAATGGAATTCAGTTGGTCGGAATTCCGTTATTCAATCCGAGTTGGCAGGGTAGGTTTCCCAAATGTTGGATTGTTGTGATTGTGCATGTTGTAGAGCTGTTGCATATTGGATGGAAGAATCGAACATTTATAAACACAATACAGACTCCTGTAGTTCAACGTTTGATTGCAATAGTTACAAGCAGGTATGTGTATACACAAATTATGTGACTGAAGAAACTGCCAAATATCTACATTAATCACTGGACGAGCTTTCCTAAATTCGTTTCTCTAAAATAAATCTAGATAGTTCAAGCAGAAACGGCGTACGTGGGATGCGGTTTTACTAGATGCAGACAATATGAATATCCATCAAACATGTTGATCGCCTGTTACTATTCACCCAAGTAAGTTTTCAGAATTTTCATCCGTCAATGCACATTATTTTCCATTTCGTACATTTACATAATCACGATTTCATGATTTGTTTTGTTTTGAACGTGAGTGGTTTAAAAGCGTTCCGATGATGTGCAATTCTCTTCATGCTTGCATTCAATTTGTCTCCTGAGTCTGTCAAGCATTTCAAATGTGGATATTCGACTCCCTTCTTACATTTTGCCCATAGATCTGTCTGGTATAAAGATACATTCGACTAAGTAAAACGTGTGTGCAAATGAATGACGGATAGTCATAACCTCTGTTTGTTTTGGTTGTTTCTATTTTAGAGTGAAGAGTGGTCCACCATACACTGACGCAACGAACAGAAGATGCAAGTATCTGAATGCGAATCTGAATAAAATAAAAGGCAAAGGGAAGTAGGAGTTAAAGGAAGAGAGGTGAAAAATTAAATCAGTTGTTTCGTTATATTTAATGACAATTTAATCAGTACTAATAATTTTAAATAAATAATGATGCTGCATAATGGTACACTCTTTCCTTACCAATTGTACAGAAAAACATTTCTTTTTTCAATAATCTATGTAAAAGCGATCGATAGTGAATAAGATCTTTGATTGACAGTTAAGTACTCGTCTCCCTGTTACTGTAAACAAACAACAATGTGTAGAATATTGATTGTTGTAATCTGAACATCGCTTACACAGTCTTGAAACATAGTAGACACTGGAATCACGATTGCGGATACGAATGAGTCTTAATAATAATAATAATAATAATAATAATAATAATAATACACATTCTGAAAATAATATTTACAGAATTAACACCAGTTTACAGGCATGATCAGATTGTTATAAAAATCAACATTTAATGTAGAGAGCAAACATGAAATATAAGAAAGTTTTATGTTTGCTGGTTTAGTAATTGATAAATAGTTTATATATTGCAGGCTAATGCAACACCAGGGAACTTGTCATTTATTCTTAAGTGGATAGCCTGATGTTCTGTAAGGTTATTTCTAGTGCCAAAGCGAGTTATTGATAATTATCTACAACTAGAGAAAGTAAGATTAAAGCAAAGAGAACGGAACAACAAAACAATGATAGCAAGTAAGAGGTTAAACACTAAAAGTTCCGACAATCTCACTTGTGGAGTAAGATACACTTGCAGGCGCTAGAGCATATAATACATTTTCAGAGGAGCAAAAGGCATTAATTGAGCGGACAAACAATGGGAGAGAGTTTAACATACGGATAGTTTGAGGTAAATTATTCCAGAGCCTAGAAAACTTACAGGCAAAGTAATTCATATAGAGAGAAGATTTAGAATATGTTTGTTTCGCTAAAGACAAGGAGTTACGAATGATTTAATGTGGGGCTTTAGCATATCGAATCGCCTGGTTGGATGTGAAGGAGAGTTTGTTAAGTATTTTGAAAAAGAAGATAAGGTTAAGTTTGAGTCTCCTCTTCCATAAAGAGTCAAGCCCTAGTTTACTACACCTCGAATTATATGTCAAGACACTATCAGTTTCAAGAGTACGAAGTGTAAATCGTCTCTAAACTGATTCCAGTCTTAATTTTTCGAGTTATGTAACCTATAAGGCGTTGAGACTTGGACGTTTGTTTCATTATCTGTTCAGTTAACGACAAGTCGTCGGAGTACCTAAGTCTTATATCTACTACTGAGTGTATCCTAAATAACATTCCACCATTTATGGTAAGATCGAGGTTGAGTGATGTATCACCGAAGCATAACCATCCACATTTAGCTGTATTGAGCTCCAGTTATCATTTTGAGCACCAATGTGCTACCTTGTTAAGCTCCGTGCTGATACAATTTTGAATATTGTTCAGCTCATTTGGAGAAAATGAATACACTACCTTAAGATCGTCTGCAAACATAAGGGACTTACCCACACTAAAACACTCACAAATATCATTAATGAAAACTAAAAAGAGCAAAGGACCTAAGACACTACCCGGAATTACCCCACTTCTAACAGGGACGGCATTCGACAATGAAGAGTTCATTTTAACTATTTGATGTCGATTGCTCAGGAAGGAATCAAACCAGGCTAGTAACGGGTTTTGGACCTCATAAGATGCGAGTTTACCTATGAGAAGTTGGTGGTTGACCATTTCGAAGGCCTTAGAAATGTCCAGGTATAGCACCAACACTAGATATCCTTGACTACGAAAAGAATAGACCAAATTAAAGAAGTCAAAATGACATGTCATACAAGATTGATTTTTAAGAAATCCATGTTGCGAATCATCAATAAATTGTTCAGTCAATAAATAGTTGGATAGTTCGTCACTAATAATTTTTTCCATAATCCTAGAGATAACTGGAGTAATATTTATTGGCCGATAGTTGTTCATGTCAGTCTTATCTCCGGATTTGTAACGTGGTATGATTTACGCCGTTTTCCAACGGTCAAGATAAGATAATAAATGATACTGCATAATGTTACACTCTTTCCTCATCAATGTTTCAGAAAGATATTTCTGTTTTCATTGTAAAAGCGATCGATAGTGAATAAGGTGTTGTATTCGAGGTTCTCGCTTTTCTGTATTTGTCGGCGAGTATGACATGGGAGGGCCAGAACAACTGCGACGTAAAAATCGTCTATTTAATTCTGAGCTGTCCATTGTATTCCATACTTCCTGTCAGATGTTGAGGTCTTCATGATCCAGTCAATCACCACAAGACAGGGAGAAAGAGGAAGAGTAGTTAGCCTTATCTGACTCCGGAACTTACTGTGAAATGCGGCTGTCCAAATAAAATGAAAAACACTTACTTCTGTAACCTGAGTGAGAACTCTGTGAGGACAACTGATATGTACTCAATCCCACCACCTCAAAGCATGTCGAAATAATAAAGTACAAATACAATTGAAAAAACTATTGTAACCTGAGTGAGAACTCTGTGAGGACAACTGATATGTAATGTGGTTGTGTGAGAGTCTTTGAGTCTGGTGATACAAAGTTCACATGCGATGACAATATCCATATGAGCAAAGGTATAAATATGACTGCGTCTTGGACAAAAACCAGATATCACAGAATGGTGCTCACACTACTGCTTGGCATTTGTTTCTTAGAAGCCGTCTTCGGGATGACCGCAGAGGAAGCGCAACTCATGCTGCAAGTACATAATGAACATCGAGCATACCGAAACCTGTGTGGCGAAAAGGGCATAGTGCCAGCGGAGGAAATACTACAGCCTCTTGTAAGTTTGAGATGATGTGGAAGCCTCGTGCTTTGCACTATAATCTGAATGCGTTTCTTCACATTATTCATGAATACACAATTAATGCTTTTCTTTGGTTTCTATGCTTGTATCAGGAGTGGGACGATGAACTGGCTGCCGCTGCTCAAAGTTGGTCTAAAAAATGCAATCCATATGAAGAAGAACCGATTGGAAATGTTGGTAAATGGAATTCAGTTGGTCGGAATTCCGTTATTCAATCCGAGTTGGCAGGGTAGGTTTCCCAAATGTTGGATTGTTGTGATTGTGCATGTTGTAGAGCTGTTGCATATTGGATGGAAGAATCGAACATTTATAAACACAATACAGACTCCTGTAGTTCAACGTTTGATTGCAATAGTTACAAGCAGGTATGTGTATACACAAATTATGTGACTGAAGAAACTGCCAAATATCTACATTAATCACTGGACGAGCTTTCCTAAATTCGTTTCTCTAAAATAAATCTAGATAGTTCAAGCAGAAACGGCGTACGTGGGATGCGGTTTTACTAGATGCAGACAATATGAATATCCATCAAACATGTTGATCGCCTGTTACTATTCACCCAAGTAAGTTTTCAGAATTTTCATCCGTCAATGCACATTATTTTCCATTTCGTACATTTACATAATCACGATTTCATGATTTGTTTTGTTTTGAACGTGAGTGGTTTAAAAGCGTTCCGATGATGTGCAATTCTCTTCATGCTTGCATTCAATTTGTCTCCTGAGTCTGTCAAGCATTTCAAATGTGGATATTCGACTCCCTTCTTACATTTTGCCCATAGATCTGTCTGGTATAAAGATACATTCGACTAAGTAAAACGTGTGTGCAAATGAATGACGGATAGTCATAACCTCTGTTTGTTTTGGTTGTTTCTATTTTAGAGTGAAGAGTGGTCCACCATACACTGACGCAACGAACGGAAGATGCAAAATCTGAATGACATAGGAATGGCAAGGGGGAAGTAGAAAAAGTTAGTGAAAGAGAAATGAAGAACTATATCGCTTGTTTTGTTATATTTATTGACAATGTAACCAGTACTAATAATTTTAAATAAATAATGATGCTGCATAATGGTACACTCTTTCCTTACCAATTGTACAGAAAAACATTTCTTTTTTCAATAATCTATGTAAAAGCGATCAATAATAAATATGGTTTTCGGCTGACAGTGAAGTAATCCTCTCGCTGTTCCTGCAAACAAACAACAATGTGTAGAATATTAATTGTTGGAAATAAACCATCGCTTACACAGTCTTGAAACATTGTAGACACTAGAATGACGATGCCAACTCAGGTAAACACTAAGCCGGATACGAATGAGTCTTTATATTAATCTATGTAAACCAGAATCGAGATCACGAATATTATCGACGAAGTATGGTCAGTCGCAACCCGTTAGCACTTCGCACTATGGTTCAATAAAATGTGTTTTCATCAGTTCCTCGCAGTGATACAATGAATATTTGCAGGTTGATGACAAATTTTTACCTCAGATTTGGATGAAGAAGTGTTAAGATGGTTTATTGTCAGTGTATACTTTGAGCTTGGTTTTCTCCAACAAGTTGTCGTCCACTACAATATTACCGGAATTTATTGAGTGTATTTATTTTTTTAAGTGTGTACGAAACATGTCATATACTTCTTCCCAAACTCTGCAATAGGAATAAACCTCTCTGGATTAGGATAACGATACTATGTCATGCACACGTGTCTGACTACTGTTTCCGACCGATCATAGTGTATTTCATCATAACATTACAATGAGGATAATACATATACGGATATAATCAAATGTATTGCTTTGAATCAATCACATCAGACATTCTCTCAATCGAAACATTTATTTATGTGCAGTCGTTAATTTCCAAAATTCTACTCTTTAATTAGATTCATGAATAATTCATATTATGTAACGCCATAGATAAGGCGAAACTGGAGATCTTTTTCACTGGTCAAATACTGCGATATAAAACTCTCAAACTCGTAGTAAATCCTGGTGTCCTACGAGCTACTCACCATGGAAAGGCCTATTACACGTATTAATCTCAATCTCTCACGTATCACAAAATGACGTAAGATGTCAGGTATAAGGATCAACTTCTATGGAGTTTATGGCGTTGAAGAAGAAATACGATACAAATCAACAGCTGTTTATTTAACCAGTTATTCGAAAATCAATCTTCCATGTAAAATGCAATTTAGGAAAATAAAGCGGATGATATTATACTGTGATAGATGCTGTTTTGTCTTATCGTGTTTTCCTAGAATGATGATAGTGATACCCAATCCTACTGAGAAACTTTAAACTTATTTTCATTATTTCTACATTGTAAGGGATTGCGTGCACAACAATCTATGTGGTTGTAAGTTGAGTTGAGTGGAAGAATTTCGAACTTCAATTCGACCAGTCGATATGAATGTTTCACTAATAGATTTGATGACGAATGATAACCAATTGTTCTCTTACATCGAACTTCACTCGTTTTGAATAGTATCTAACATGAACAGTGGTAACCCCGACAGACATATATTGACAATCATTGTTTTAATTATAGAAGGGGTTTTGTGGAGATTTAGTATTTACTATAGTTGAAAGCGTGAATCAATTGAAGCTAGACCATTGTTTTGTTGTTCGGTGGTCTTTGCTTAATTCTTACTTTCTTTAGTTGAGGATATTTATCAATAAGTCGTTCTGGCACTAGAATTAACCTTAAGGAAATACGTTCATAAATCATCAGGCTATCCACTTGAGAAAAAATTAAAAGTTCCTTTCTGATGCATTGGATTGCAATGATACATGTAATAAATAAAATACTTAACAATTACTGAACCAGAAAACATAAGACAGTCTTAAATCTCATATTTGTCGACTACATTTAATGTTGCTATTTATATCAAATTGATCATACCTGTAAACTGGTGTGAATTCTGTAATCATTATTTTCAGAATATATATATATATATTATTACCGTCCAATCGTAGCATACCGCGTTCATATTCTAGAAATCCCCATCAGTCTTGAGTGGGTGGAAACGCTTCGGTTCCTTCAGAGCCCACGAACAGTGCGACATGCTTCTCGGAATCTGTCCCAACTAAATTCTCAAATTATCCGTCCATTTTTCAAAATATTCTTCTCATCTCACTCTCAAAATGTTCACTATCCTACTCAAGCATTTATTCATCGTCTTCGGAATATTGGCTACAGGGTTAGACTAGAAGGAGAAATGTTAGAAAATAAAAACAGTCAGGCTGGACACACAAAAATTAGTAGGTACAGTAAACACTAGTAAATAAGGATATATGTTTTGGCTTAAGATAGCATTCAATTATTGAAATAATTCAACCGAGAATAAATAACGAACAGAAAGTGACTTATTTATAGATAAGGCTTGTGTTTATATCTCAATAAGATAATGAGTGATGGAATAAGAACTCAAATGGCCTTCTCAACTTAAAATGTGACGATCTGTTCCACAAGGTATGTACACACATAATAATCTCTCTCCTTTACCATAACTAACAGTGGCGTTCATCATTTATATTATTTGATTTGATTTTACTCAGCTAGTTATCATTTAATCAACATTCAAATTCACTAGAAAGTTTCACTCGCTCAATTCACGGGACTCATGTTCATTTCTACGTAATTACCATTTCATCCATCTATCTCATCCACTTTATATATACTATGTGTAACTTCTCTTGACCTTGGACGCGTATGTGTCTATGTGTACATATACAGATCCAATTCGGTAATATGTATTCTTTGTTACAGTATTAAGCTAAAATATATTTCGAATGTATTAAAACTTATAACTATAATCTTGTCTCATACTTTATTACATACGGTTTTAGCATATTACCACATACCGATTATGCAACAAATTTCGTACTCTATTTCTATGATCTACGTCAATCAGTACAATCCTGAAATTAATCTTACCACTTCTGTTTATATAACTTGTTTACATAGATCTGTTTTGAGTTGGTATTTTATGTTTGTTACTTTATATGTAATATGATTAGTAATGTTTAACAAATTCAATCTCTAATTGAATTAGATTTATCATGTGTAGTGTACACAAATAGTATTTATAATAATTAGTCCCTTTTTATAAATTTCGATAGAGAAATGAGAAGAAGGTGATCAGGATTATGTGATTTATATATATATATATATATATATATATATATATATATATATATATGCAATATATTCCGAACAATCTGATCACACGTAGTATACCTGTGAAGATATTTTCAACTGAAGATTGAAAGATCAGCTGTACAGGCTAAAGGTATGTCGTAACAATGATTAATAAAGCACACAAAAAAAAACCACTCTGGATAATAAATCAGTACCGCCAGGGTAGGTTAAAGTTAAGAATAAATTGCTTTTTTGAACACATAAATGAGATTTTCAGCGAACTTAGTACACGTCCAGTTTGATGATTTCCTAATTTCCAATTCATCAGATCAACTGCCTGACTGTGTGGTGCATTTCACTCTTAGTGACCAGAGTACAGCAGCATCTCACCCGTACATAGCCTTTGTTGTTCAGCTTGTGTCCAATAGGTTTCGCTGATTCCAAGTACTGCCATTTTGTATCTCTTCATTTAAAATTGCTAATTGACTGGTCTTCCTGGTTCCCCATATTGTTCGAACTTTCCATGTACCTATAAGGAGTGTTGTTCTGGTTGTTAGAAAATGCATCGACTTCCAAAAATCTCGGCCCTCATCATGAGACACCATAATTCTTCCTTCAACTGGGAGGGCAGGGTTTAAATGGCTTTAATTATTTTTTCTGGTTAGCGTTTTTCAGGGAGTTGGTTTTCTACCGGATGGGTTCGTGTGGTGTTTGAATGAATCAAATGATTCCCTTGTATTGATGACTGTTTTTATTTTGAATTCCAAATACAGTTAATGCGTTCGTGCTGATCATATACTTCTTGATTAAATTGCGTTATTGCTGAGATTCTTAGTTCATACAATAATTCAAATACTTCAAATTATCACATTGGCGTCGAGATGAAGCCTGTCTTTGAACAGTTGGATATACATTCAGATTTTATAGCTTTTGAGGATTACATGGAGAGGTTCAAATCTGGGTTATGATCAAGGAGAATTATTAGAATTTTAAGATTGTGGCCCATTTCTTTACATTCATGGAAAAAAGAAGCATACAAATTTATAAAGACTTTGGCACGTCCAGACAAACCGATTTCACTC